CTCATGTCCATGCATCAGGGTTCACGAACCGTTGCCGAGTACGCCATCGAATTTCGTACTTTGGCGGCAGAGGTGGGTTGGAACAATGAGGCTCTAGTGGCTGCTTTCTCTCATGGTCTCTCTGATGCGTTGAAGGACGAGATCGCAGCCAAAGAACTGCCTGTGGAGTTAGAGGCACTCATCTCCTTCCTAATCTTGATTGACACCAGGCTCAGAGAGAGGCCTTCATTTAAGGAGCGGCTGCGGAGGCCTCCTAACCGTTTGGCGCCTACGTTTTCTGTCCCACCCGTGCCTCCCTCTCCTCCCACGCCTCCTGGGGATGGTTTGTCTGGTAGTGAGCCCATGCAGCTGGGGTTTGCTCGCCTTTCCGAGGGGGAGCGGGCCTCTCGGCGTCGGGAGGGTCGCTGCCTGTACTGTGGACTCGGGGGGGGCATTTTCGGCAGTCCTGTCCGGTCCGTCCGGGAAACGCCCGCACCTGAGATCCTGTCGGGGGCAGATCTTGGGTGGAGTTTCCTCGTCCCCGGTTTCCCGTAAAGATAAACCGCTTATCACCGTTGTCCTCTCTTGGGCAGGAGGCTCGGTGACGGCCCAGGCGCTGCTGGTAGACTCTGGGGCTGGCGGTTTGTTTATGGACAGTTCGTTTGTGGCCCAGTACTCCATTCCTCTGCAGGCTCGAGAGACTCCATTGGTTCTCGAGGCGATAGATGGCAGGCCCTTGCAGCCATCGCAGGTTACCCACGAGACCCTGCCGGTGGAGGTAGCTATTGGGGCTGTTCACAGGGAATTGGCCTGTTTCCAGGTAATTTCTTCCCCGCACTACTCCGTGGTTTTGGGCTATCCCTGGCTTCAGAGGCACAATCCGACCTTTGATTGGCGATCGGCCGAGATTCTCTCATGGTCACCACGGTGTGGGGCTGGTTGCATCCGTGGTCCGGTTAAGGTGCTGTGCACCTCCTCGGACTCTGTGCTGCCCACTGAATATGGGGAGTACCTGGACGTGTTTGACAAGGTGCGCGCCGGTGCCCTGCCTCCTCATCGTCCATACGATTGTGCCATAACCTTACAAACTGGTGCTACTCCTCCGCGTGGCAGGGTGTATCCTCTTTCGGTGGCAGAGAATCAGGCCATGGAGGAATACGTTGCGGATGCGCTTTCCCGGGGGCACATTCGCAAGTCTACGTCTCCAGCAGGAGCTGGGTTTTTTTTTTTTGTGAAAAAGAAGGGAGGTGAGCTGAGACCCTGCATTGATTTTAGGGGTCTCAATCGGATCACGATTAAAAATGCTTATCCTATTCCGTTGATCACCGAGTTGTTTGACCGCCTCAAGGGAGCAACGGTCTTTACTAAGCTCGACCTTAGGGCTGCCTACAACCTTGTACGGATCAAGGAGGGCGATGAGTGGAAGACCGCGTTCAACACCAGAACCGGCCACTATGAATACCTGGTTATGCCCTTTGGGTTGTGTAACGCACCCGCGGTCTTTCAGGAGTTTATTAACGATGTCTTACGTGACTTGTTGCAGCAGTGCGTGGTGGTTTACTTGGACGACATCCTGGTTTACTCTGCGTCCATGGAGTCTCATATCCAGGATGTTAAGCGGGCTGCAACGGTTACGTGAAAACGAGCTTTTCTGTAAGCTCGAGAAGTGTGAATTTCACCAATCCCAGGTTGCCTTTTTAGGCTACATCATTTCCCCGATGGGTTTTTCTATGGACCCTGAGAAGGTTTCAGCGGTTCTGCAGTGGCCTCGTCCCAGTGGTCTTCGGTCCATTCAGCGCTTTTTGGGATTTGCCAACTATTATCGGAAGTTTATCAGGAACTTTTCCACATTGGCAAAGCCTCTCTCAGATCTGACCAAGAAGGGCAGTAACCCTCACGAGTGGTCACCCGAGGCCATCTCAGCTTTCAAGGCTCTGAAAGCCGCCTTCACTTCGGCCCCAATTCTGTCTCATCCCAATCCTGGGTTGCCTTTTGTTCTCGAGGTTGATGCATCTGAGACAGGAGTAGGCGCCCTCTTGTCCCAGCGTCGGTCACCCGAGGGACCCCTACTTCCTTGTGGGTTCTACTCCAAGAAGCTTTCCTCTGCAGAGTGCAACTACAGATTGGAGACAGGGAGTTGTTGGCCATTATTCTGGCTCTCAAGGAATGGAGGCACCTGCTTGAGGGTTCTGTGGTCCCGGTCCTAGTTCTCACTGACCACAAGAACCTCACATATCTCTCGGAGGCTAAGAGGTTGACACCCCGTCAGGCCAGGTGGGCTCTGTTTTTGTCACGTTTTAAACTATGTGGTCTCTTACTTGCCTGGTTCCAAGAATGTCAGGGCTGATGCCTTGTCGCGGCAATACTCTGAGCTGTCCAGGGAGGACACTGAGCCGACCTCGGTCATTCCTCCAAACCAGATCCTGGCTGCCATTCGTACCAACCTGACTTCTCCCCTTGGGGAGCAGATTTTGGCGGCTCAAACTAACGCTCCCCCTGAGAGACCTGCTGGAAGATGTTTTGTACCTGAGGGATTGCGTACCCGCTTGCTACGTACCTACCATAATGCCAAGACTGCCGGTCATCCTGGTAGGAACCAATTGTCCTGGGTCGTTTCTCGGTATTCTGGTGGCCATCTCTCCGTTCTGACATCGCCTCATATGTAGCAGCTTGTTCGGTCTGTGCCCAGAATAAATCTCCTCGGCACCTTCCATTGGGCCTTCTGCAACCCATTCCCAATGGGGAGCGTCCCTGGTCACACCTGGGAATGGATTTTATTGTGGATCTTCCTGCGTCTCAAGGTCATACGGTCATTCTTATGGTGATCGATCGTTTTTTCTAAGATGTGCCATTGCGTTCCATTCAAGAAATTGCCGACTGCACAGGAACTGGCTACGGTTTTCGCCAAGGAGATCTTTCGCTTGCACGGGTTGCCCAAGGTGATTGTCTCGGACCGTGGGAGCCAGTTTGTGTCCAGGTTCTGGCGCGCCTTCTGCTCCCAGTTGGGTATCGAGCTTTCCTTCTCTTCGGCCTACCACCCTCAGTCCAATGGGGCTGCGGAGCGTTCCAACCAGGCCCTGGAACAATTCCTTCGTTGCTATATATCGGATCATCAGGACAACTGGGCCGATCTCCTGCCATGGGCAGAGTTTGCGAGGAACTCGGCTGTCAACTCCTCCTCTGGGATGTCCCCCTTCATGGCCAACTATGGGTTCCAACCCGCTGTATTGCCTGAGTTGTTCTCTCCACAGGACATTCCGGCTGTGGATAACCACCTGGCTGCTCTGCGCTCCTCATGGGGGCAGATTCAGAGGTCCTTGAAGGACTCAGCACAGCGCCAGAAGCTCCAGGCTGATCGTAGACGGTTGCCCGCTCCCTCATACCAGGTCGGAGATCGGGTGTGGTTGTCCACTCGCAACCTCAAGCTTCGGGTGCCCACACCAAAGCTGGCCCCCCGTTTTGTTGGTCCTTTCCGCATTCTTCGCAGGGTGAACCCGGTTGCCTATGCCCTTGCTCTTCCTCCTGGGATGCACATCTCCAATGTCTTCCACGTATCCCTGTTGAAACCTCTGATCTGTAATCGCTTTACTGCCTCTCTGCCTCGTCCTCGTCCTATCAGGGTCGACGGTCATGAGGAGTATGAGGTGAGCCGCATCTTGGATTCTCGGTTGGTCCGCGGTCGGGTACAGTTTTTGGTCCATTGGCGTGGTTATGGTCCCGAGGAACGTTCCTGGGTTCCTTCCGCGGATGTTCATGCTCCTGCCCTCCTCCGCGCTTTTCACGCCCGATTTCCTCAGAAACCTTTTGTGGAGCCACGGAGGGGGAGGGGCCCTTGAGGAGGAGGTACTGTCAAGGTCCTACCTTTCTTCAGAGCTTGTGCATCTCCATGAGCTGGCCTCCATCTTGGTTTTCTGCAAAGCATGGTGGGAACCTTTATGCCTTCAGGCTTCTGCGGCTCCTCCTCAGAAGGGTGTGGTTGAGCACATTTAAACCTGCTGTCTGCAAGTGTGCTCTGCACTTGTGTCCTGTATGTTGCCCTGTTGCAAGCTCTTGTGTTGTTCCCATTGCTCTCCTGGTAACCGACTCGGCTTGGACAAGACTACTCTCTGCGTTAACCCTTTTTATCTGACCTCCCGTTGTTGAACCCGGCCCGTGACCTGAGTATTCTTTGCCTACCGTCTAGTACTGTCTGCTCCATTGTTATTGACCCGGCTTGTCTGACTACTCTACTCGTGATCCCATCTAGCTCCCACCAGCTGTACGCCATTGGCGGCAGTCGTTATCGCAGCTGGGGTCACTCGGGGGCCGCGACCTGGTCTCAGGCTGCGTCAAGTCCATCCCCACCATCAGGGGCCCTGGTGAAGGGTAGCCTGGGGCTTAGACTCCGCGCCCTGAGGGACTCTGGTCTGTGGGTAGTGGCTGTCGTCAGTCGCAGCGTTGCCTTGGAACAAACTTTGGGGTTGGTTTACTATAGCTCTACTCCTTTACTCTCTGTACAAACTGTACCATTGTATTCAGTGCCTCTGAGTAGTTTGCAGCTTGGCAAAATGCTTTTTCCTCCGTCTTTCAGAAGACCCATACTCATTATTGTCAATGGTCAATCATGCTGGGGTTTTTTTTGCCTTCCTCTGGATCAACTGTGGGTATAGGATTATAACTTTTGGGGGTTTTTTTAATGGTTGAACTGGATGGACTTTTGTCTTTTTTCAGCCAGACTAACTATGTAACTATGCAAACAGGATGCAAAAAGTCGGAGTTGTTACTATTATTGTGAGCCTTATACTGGTGAAATCACCAAATAAAAATAAAGGAAAGAAAGCCTAAAAAAGAAAGTGAATACAACAACCACATCTAAGAACTGGTATGCTGCAATATAATTCATGTGTGCTTTAGGTTTAATACCACTTTAACCGCCTCCCGCCTGCCATATAGTAAAATATGATGGACGCAAGGCGGTTCTCTCGTTCTGGGAGGACATCATATGACATCCTCCCATTTTGAGCGCGCAGCTCGGCGATCGGCGGTGCGCTGAGTCCCTCGGACACAGCGGATCACCGATCCAAGGAAAGAGCCGAAGATGTCGGCTCAGTCATGTGACCAGCTGTGTCCAATCACAGCTGATCACATGTAAACAGGGAAATGCCCGTTATCGGCATTTCTCTCCCCACGAGCTGTCATTCTGACAGCTCGTGAGGAGAGGAGAGCCGGTAATCGGCATTCCTCGGAGGGAACATCTGCACTGATCATCAGAGCACTGATGATCAGTGTGCCCTGATGATCTGTGTAGTCCCAGCAGTGCCACCTGTCAGTGTCCGTCAGTGCCAGCTCTCAGTGCTCATACATGCCACCTGCCAGTGCCCATCAGTGCCTCATCAGTGCCACATTTCAGTGCCCATCAGTGCCACAAAAATGCCACATATCAGTGCCCATCTGAGCTGCCTTTCAGTGTCACCCATCAGTGCCAGTCAGTGCCACCTATCAATGCCAGTCAGTGCCGCCTATCAGTGTGCATCAGTGCTGCCTATCAGTGCCTGTCAGTGCCACCTAACAGTGCCAGTCAGTGCCTCCTATCAGTGCCAGTCAGTGCCGCCTATCAGTGTGCCATATATGAGTGCTGCCTTTCAGTGCCCATCAGTGATGCCTGTCAATGCACATCAGTGCCACCTACCAGTGCCTCCTCATCAGTGCCCATCAGTGCTACCTATCAGTGCCCATCAGTGTAGCCTCATTAGTGCACATCAGTGAAGGAGAAAAATCACTTACAGTATTTACAACATTTTATAACAAAAACTTTTTTTTTCAAAATTTTCAGTGGTTTTTGGTTTGTTTAAGAAAAAATAAAAAACCCAGAGGTGACTAAATACCACCAAAATAAAGCTCTATCTGTCACAAAAGAATGATAAAAATTTCATATGGGTACAGTGTTGCATGACCGCGCAATTGTCATTCAAAGTGCAACAGCGCTGAAAGCTGGAAATTGGCCTGGGCAGGAAGGGGGTATAAGTGCCCGGTAGGCTAGTGGTTAATACCACTTTAACAAAGACGAAAAAACTCTCTCCCAAGACTCCTAAGATAACAATGTTTATCCAAGAAAAACTGGGCAATTCCCATTGGGTCCACTGACATTATTTCTTCCTTGTAGGGAAAAAAAATATTTATTTTATTGCTTGTGTGCAAGAAATTGCTAGAGATGACATTTTTGTTTAAATGACATTTGCATTTTTCTATTTTCCTAATGGTATCTTTAAGAAAATTCAGGTTACACTTACAGTATTTTTGTTGTTGTATCTCTCAATGTAGCCTGAACCAAGGTCCTTTGCCAGTGCAAGGATATTTCACAATGTCATAAAAAGCAGGGTCTTGGAAACACAACCTTGGGTTTAATACTTGACACCACCATTTATCAACCAGATCTGCTTCTGATGACATCCTGGCATCCTGCTGTGAATTCTTCCATGTTAGGAATTCATTTAGCTCTCCCCTGCTGACAAAGTAGCTGGACCTTATATGCCACTTGACTACTTTCTACTTTTTACGTATTGTACCTATTAGCACTTTGCGTGATGCCGGATCCTTTGTGATATGGACATATAAATGGCTATTCACTTGTTGATTAATCACTCCTATGCAATGATTAGATTAATCCTCAACATATGCTGATAATAACTTAAAAAACGTAAAAAGTACACTGTATTATTCAATCGTCATAAAAGAGTGACCAATAGGGTAGCTAAATATTCTCTGATTATGTTTAATCTCTGTATTTTTTCTATTCTGATTTGCAATTCTTATTACTTGAAGGTCTGGTAGTGAGTCGCACTTCAATCATCTCTTATATCCAATGCTTTGTGCATGAAAACTACAGCTTTATGGCATAAATTTGACATCTCAATGTTCCATGATTGTAAAGTCGTCTGCACAAAGGACCTTTAAATTGAATCACTCAATCCATGTAGTTCTTTTATTAAAATTGCAAGAAAGCAGCATCAAGTAAAGCATAAAATCCTCCATATCAAAAAGCAACATTTTGAGCCATCGAACAACCTTTTTTCAAGCATGGAGACACTGTACCTGCAGGAGGCTTCTCAATAAGTCAAGAAGAATGCTTCTATTTTTATATTGTATTTATCATCACTCTGAAAACCAAAATGATATTTGGTTTGAATGGTCTCAAAACTCAACTCAAAAGTGATTTTCATTTCTAAGTGGGTACTAGCAGGTACAAATACAGAACAACTTCTATTATGAGTCAGATATATCAGTTTATGGATTATCACAGATATACAGGATCATATTAAAGTGTATTTAAGGGCAAATTTAAAAAAAACTATGCCTTGCATTTCTACAAAACATGTACATTTTCTTTGAAAAAAATATTCCACTCTTTAAAAAAAGCCTGTTTGATGGCTGAAAAGGTTGCTTTTGATAGGTAGAATGTATTCATTAACTTTCTGCTGCTTTCTTGCAATTTAATAAAGAGCTTCTGTATGTGGATTGATCAATTCAATTTATGTTCCTTGTACAGACAATTTTACCAAGCTTCTTATTGTATAAATTGTATATAAATGCAAGAACAAACATTTTGTATTCGGCAACTTACAGGGCTTTGGATGATGCTAATGCATTAGTTTTCTTTCAAGCTTTTTTCTTTTGTTCTCATCTGGTGACCACTTATTAAAGCACTACCTGTCCTAGGATGACAATGCTCACTCACCCTACTGTCTGTCAGAGAAAAACAGGCAGAAGAAAACAACAGTCAGAACTTTGAAGTAATCCTACAAACACAGAAGCACTAACGACTAGAGCTCAGATTGACTACAGCCCAGCTTGCCCCATATTTAGTCTAGGGACACTCTAGTTTAAGACAGGATCCTTACATATTTTTTAGAGGATATATCTCCTTCTTCAAATACATTTCATTGGTGACTGATGAACAAAGAACAAAAAAAGGGCGCACTCTCATTGTGCATTACCGTGGTACACCACGTAATTATTGTGTAATCAAATAGATATATACTCACAAACCAAAGGATAATAAAAGCAGTATGAATAGTCCGTAATGGTAGTCAATGCAATGCTGTGCCCCAATTGGGGATAAGCTGACGCGTTTCGGCAGACATACCCCCTTCCTCAGAGCTCAGAGAAGGTACATGCATCTTTTCCTTGCAGGAAATGCAGGCACAGCAGCCCACTCAAAAGAATGGTCTGCCATGCCCACACAAACGTGGGTTGCGTGGCCTGCACTAGTGTGAACCGGGCCTTGAGCATTGAGGATATTTTTATACAGTTGTGTCCAAAATTATTCAACCCCCAATGCTGTAAAGGGGTTTAGGGACTATAGTGTACATTTGGAATTGTATTCAGAATCAAATCCTACAAGGACGTTGTAACTACCCAAATGCAACTAAAATGACATCAATTGTTTATGTAATACAGTAGTAAATGGTTCTTATGTGGTTTCTTCATTGCCACAATTATTCAACCCCTTAAAGACTACCACTCTGAAGAACAGAGGTTCATACAGGTGCTTTCCATCAGGTATTGAAAACACCTGTGGATGTCACCGAGCAGCAATCAAGCATAATAAGCACCAATTAGGCAGCTTTAAAATGACTGTGATACTCAGCTCCTTCTAGACATTTACTGGTGTGGTTACAAACATGGTGAAGGCAAGAGAATGGTCCAGGAAGACAAGAGAAGAGGTGATTTCTCTTCACAGGAAGGGCAATGGCTATAAGAAGATTGCAAAGATGTTAAACATACCAAGAGACACCTTAGGAAGCATCATTCGCAAATTCAAGGCAAAGGGCACTGTTGAAACGCTACCTGGTCGTGGCAGAAAGAAGATGCTGACTTCGACTGCTGTGCGCTACCTGAAGCGTAGAGTGGAGAGAAGTCCCCGTGTGACTGCTGAGGAACTGAGAAAAGATTTGTCAGATGTGGGTACAGAAGTTTCAGCCCAGACAATAAGACGCACACTGCGTAATGAAGGCCTCCGTGCCAGAACTCCCAGGCGTACCCCCTTGCTGTCTCCAAAGAATAAGAAGAGTCGACTGCAGTATGCCAAAAGCCATGTGGACAAACCACAAAAGTTGTGGGATAGTGTTCTGTGGACTGATGAAACAAAAATTAGAACTGTTTGGGCCCATGGATCAACGCTATGTTTGGAGGAGGAAGAACAAGGCCTATGATGAAAAGAACACCTTGCCTACTGTGAAGCATGGTGGAGGGTCAATCATGCTTTGGGGCTGTTTTGCTTCTGCAGGTACAGGGAAGCTTCAGCGTGTGCAAGGTACCATGAATTCTCTTCAGTACCAGGAGATATTGGATGGAAACGTGATGCAGTCCGTCACACACCTGAGGCTTGGGAGACGTTGGACCTTTCAACAGGACAATGATCCCAAGCATACCTCCAAGTCCACTAGAGCATGGTTGCAGAGGAAAGGCTGGAACATTTTGGAGTGGCCATCGCAGTCACCAGACTTAAATCCGATTGAGAACCTCTGGTGGGACTTAAAGAAAGCAGTTGCAGTGCGCAAGCCTAAGAATGTGACTGAACTGGAGGCCTTTGCCCATGAAGAATGGGGCGAAGATACCCGTAGATCGCTGCAAGACACTTGTGTCAAGCTATGCTTCACGTTTAAAAGCTGTTATAACTGTAAAAGGATGCTGTACTAAGTACTAAGATTGAATGTCACTTGGGGGTTGAATAAAACTGATAATGCTGTGAGCACAGAAAAGACATTTGTGGTTATTTCATTATAACTGTTATGTTATATTTGTCTGACCTACAAGTGCCTCTTTAATGTAAATGTAAGCATGAGATGACTGAATGATCAAAAGCAATGTCAAACTGGCCAAAACACTCAATTTCAGTGGGGGTTGAATAATTTTGGACACAACTGTAGCTGCCAACTAAATTAGGGACAGTGCCAGGGATTTAATTTTTAAAGCAGATGCCTTTTATTCATTTATTGTAAACCAAAAAGAAGGGGGAAATACATTTTGTAGGTGTCTAAAAATTATATAAAGCAATTCGGTAGACATAATAAAATATGGAGCATAGTGAATCATGGTCCTCTGAAAGATGCGACTGATGCTCTGCAGCAGTTTATCTGGAAATCATTTTAAAATGTTGGTAACTATGGGGATGTTAGTGATGTTGTAGGTATTTGATACAGCATTGTGAGGGATAAACTAAAATTCACTCCCTAGCATCAAAATATCCTTGTTAAGTTTAAAATTTTGGCAATATTGACAGCAACGATTTTAATGTTATTGTACTCATTGTATGTGAAGCACACACCCGTGTCAAAATACCAGCACATCACATACAAATTAACTAAAATGTCTATTATAAAAAGAACCCACCATGAAGATTAAACAAATAGCTAAATGTATATTTAAAAAACTTATAATGTTTTTACCTGATAAAAAATTTCTGTGCCTCCATTCCTGAATTTACACAGATCTATCACAAAACCTAGCCAGGTTGGTGACCTGATACTTCTCCATTGCTCCTGAGC